GAAGGGGCAAAAAAAATTCCAACCCCAAGAAATGGTTTTGTTTGAGGAAAAAGGAGGTTGTTGGTTTTGATGCTGTGGGAAAGAAAAGGGTAAAAACAGGAGAGAACTCCAGAAATAAAAGGGATTTGGGTCTGGGGTCTGCAGAGCACGGCCCTGGCACAGGGTGGGGGGTTCTCCTGAACCCCCCCCGGCAAGGGATGGAGAGGGCAGAGAGATGTGGGGGTCGTGGCTGCTGGGGGGTGTTTGTGTTGGGGTGGTTGGTGGTGGAGCTGAGGGTGGTGGTGGTGAGGAGGAGGATGGTGGTGGTGGGGAGGAGGGGGAGGGGGGGGGTGGTGGTGGGGGGGGGGGGGGGGGGGGGTCTGGGAGGGGTCTGGATGCGTCTCTGATGAACAAAAGGGAAGAAAAGCTGCTTTCCTTCTCTGCCAGGAGGAGGGTGGTGGTGGTGTTGAGGAGGTTGAGGAGGAAGATGGTGGTGGTGGGGAGGGTGAGGAGGAGGATGGTGGTGGTGAGGAGGGTGAGGAGGAGGATGGTGGTGGTGAGGAGGAGGGTGAGGAGGAGGATGGTGGTTGTGCTGAGGGTGATGAGAGTGATGGTGGTGGTTGTGTTGGAGCTGGGAGAGGTGATGAAGATGGTGGTGGTGATGAGGATGGTGATGGTGATAATGGTGGTGATGAGGGTGGTGATGGTGATGAGGATGGTGGTGATGGTGGTGATGGTGATGAGGATGATGATGAGGGTGGTGATGGTGATGAGGATGGTGGTGATGGTGGTGATGGTGATGAGGATGATGATGAGGGTGGTGATGGTGATGAGGATGGTGGTGATGGTGGTGATGGTGATGAGGATGATGATGAGGGTGGTGATGGTGATGAGGATGGTGGTGATGGTGGTGATGGTGATGAGGATGATGATGAGGGTGGTGATGGTGATGAGGATGGTGGTGAGGGTGATGATGGTGATGAGGATGGTGGTGATGGTGGTGATGGTGATGAGGATGATGATGAGGGTGGTGATGGTGATGAGGATGGTGGTGAGGGTGATGATGGTGATGAGGATGGTGGTGATGAGGGTGGTGATAATGGTGGTGATGATGGTGGTGATGATGGTGGTGCTGAGGATGGTGGTGATGAAGGTGGTGGTGATGAAGGTGGTGGTTACAGCGGTGGTGCTGGTGCAGATGGGTGGGGGTGCTGGTGCAGACGGGGCGGCAGCGATGGGTGGCGGTGGGTGATGATGATGATGATGATGATGATGGTGGGGAGGGGGGTTGGCAGGGCTG